CATTGTGATCCATGAAAGGGATGGAGTCACTGTTCTACATTTCGTTTTTAATAGTGCTTGCACTGCTGTTTTCCCGGTATGTTCCTGTCTTTCAAAATCTGATACTCAGATTCTCTATTGGTTAGACTCCAAGAGCCCTCTGGAACCATATTTTTGGTATTTGGATCACGTGAAGGGTATACACATTGTCCTGAGATGGAGGAAGGAGCTCTGGTAGCATAGTGCCTAAGGCACTTGACTGCTAACCAGAAGACTGGAGGTTCAAACCCACTAGCCACTACTCAGAAGGAAGGTTGTGCAATCTCCTTTTGTAGTGATACTGCCTCAGAAACTCAAGGAGTGGTCGTTATGAGTCAGGTCTGACTCAATGGCACATAACAACAATGAGATAGAGGAACAAGCCTTTTTTGTGACATTTTCTCTGGCACTGCTGCTGGTGGTCTTTCCATTCATTGAAGGAGTAAGATCTAGATCTTAGGTTGGGTGTTTGACTTGGAAATGGAGTAACACTTAGCTAAGCTCTTGGTTTTTAGGGCCTGAATGAAGACCATAATAATATAACAACAACAACAACAAAAAGTCCTCTCTGTGGTCCAGCTTAGCTGCCCTAAGCCTTAGTTGGGGGTCAGTGCATTTGATTTAATTAATAATGAAATGTTATTCAGACTTGCCACGATCATTCAGTGGGGCCTGTAGCAGGAAAGCACTGTGTAGCTTCCAGCTGTGGTGGGTTCAGTCCTGTGACTTAGGACATACAGCTCAGCAGAGCCCATGGTATCTGTCACTATTGGAGGGGTCTGCAGTGGGCAAAGACGCAGTATTCAGTTGACATAAAGTTTCAGGGAGAAAATTGCAACATAGGCCTCAGGGGTTCTGGAGAAAAGTCATGCCATCTCAATGACAATCATGTACCTTTTGAGAATAGCTCCTATCATGTTAGTGAGTCCTGATAGAGACAGATAGATTGACTATGGGACACTAAGTGACCATGCTCTGGAAGTGCCTATAAAGCTGGATTCTGTCAAACTGATCAAGTTCATCAAATCTAACAGGTACATCAGCAATCTACTGCAAGATGGAGATGGTACATCTGGAATCCAGCCCAAGCAGTAGCAGAGGCAATGAATGTTACATGAGCAGGTAACCCAGGTGTCAGTGTCATCCATCTTAATTACAACAGCATCCCTCCCCAAGTATATGTACCTGTGGCCACATGTAGTGGTGGGGGTTGTTTCATACAATCAGCTGAAGTAAATAGAAAAAGTCAAAGCTTGGCAATGGATGGGTTGTGGCTGAAAATGAATGATGTCTGTTTTACAGTCACATCAAGGGTGGCCTTGAAAGTCAGCAGAAAAGGCAAGTCCTCAAGTAGACATAGCTGAGCCATATGTGTGAAAAGAGAAGTGATGAGAAATGATAGCACATAGTTCCTGGGCACTGAGCAATGTTCTGTTCATCTGGAGATGCTTTTCAGACTAGAAAACTGGAAACAAGGAGGGTTGGAGTAGGGCCAGTGGGCAGACATATGGAAGTGAGCACACAGTGTGAACAATTTTTTATCATTTTTTCACACTCACCAGAGGGCACCTACCATGGATGAAAGACTGAATAAACTGGAAGATAAAAGGACTTAATCAACTGCCATTCACCACTGTCTATCAATATAACTGGAGAAGCAGATCAGTGTGGAAGAGGGGGGTGGACTGTGGTGATCACGGAAATGCACCACTCAGATCTCTTGCTTGGAGGTGAGGCACTGATAAATGTCCCAGTTGCTGTTCTCCCCATCTGCCACCACACGTGCACAGAGTGCATGCTTTACACAGGATGCCCCCAGGCAAGCACAGAGTGCTGAACGGACATGCTGAACAGGCAGACCCACTCCTGAGCACCGTGCATCTCCTCTGACTTTGGCTGACGGGCTCTCTGTCAGGTTGGCCAAAATGTTCTTAGTATTTACTACAGTCTGAGGCTCCTCCTACCCAACCTCCTTCCTTCCCTCATTCCTTTGAGGGATCAGACCTGCATCGTGGCCACATAGGTCTTCCTGCCTCCTTTGGCTTCCTCACCTTTATTGCTCACAGACATTTTCTACAAGTGAGTCTGAAATATCTCATTCTGTCTTCGCAGCTGCTGTTCAGAGGACCCTGACTAACCCACTCACCTATTAACTTTTGGATAGAACTGGTCATAAAATGAAGAGAAAGGAAAGGGAACAAGATGAGGAAAAGAGAGAATATGTGTTTTTTTCCTAATAGATATTAGCATCACTTGAAAATGGTATATAGATTTCATTGTTGTTGTTATTTGCCATCGAGTCGGCCCCGACTCATAGCAACCCCTCCTTGGGTTTCCGAGGCAGTATCACTACAGAAGTAGGAATGCCCAACCTTCCTTCCGAGGAGTGGCTGGTGGGTTTGAACTGCCAGCCTTCTGGTTAGCAGTCAAGTGCCTTAGGCACTATGCTACCAGAGCTCCTATAGATTTCATTAGACATATTAAAAAGAGTGAGGCACCCATTTTACTTAAATGACAAGATTTATCAGGCATCTAAAATTATATCCTCTCTAAGTATGTAAACTATTATAATTTCTGCCTAAGTGAAGCTTTGTTATTCTTAAACACATAGACAAAGTTCTCATCACATAAACCCTCATTAGTTTAATTATGGACAGAAAGAAAGTAGTAAAATTAAGACCTAGTGAAAGATTCCTTTTTACTTTTTCCTACCCAAGTTGATATGCATCTACCCTCAAGTCAATAGTTCATCCTTTCTCTGCCTCTTATCCCTGGTAACCATCAAAGAATATTTCTATTTTGTGTGAAACACTTTTCTTGACTTTATACAATAGCGGTCTCATACAATATTTGTCCTTTTGTGATTGACTAATTTCACTCAGCATAATGTCCTCTAGGTTCATCCATGTTATGAGATGTTTCACAGATTCATTGTTGTTCTTTAACGTTGTGAGTATTCCATTGTGTGTCTGCACCATCGTATTCAGTTGATGGGCATTTAGGTTGCTTCCATCTTTTTGCTATTGTGAACAGTGCTGCAATGAACATCAATGTGCAGAGACTATGTAGATTATAATGGAAAAATTAGGTATGAACTTAAAATATGGTAGGGAATAAGTAGGTTTACATCTGTTTAAAATATATGTGTTAAAGAAAAATACATTTTTTGTTTCTGGTGTGTTCTATGTGAAGACCCCAACAAATAGTTGCGTATGATTAGAGTCTAGGTTTTAGGGTGCAAGTACAGCACCAGACTAGCAAAGACTGACAAGAAAAATTGCCTTCATCAGTTAAAACTATTCACTCAGTAATAACAAATGTAACCAGCTACTCTATAAGTTCTGGGAAAGAGATTGTGTGTGAAATATCTTCAGTGCTTATGATAAGTAGTTGTCACTAAATAAATACTTGTTGAACTGATATACGATTCTGTGGCTAATTAGATAAACACACACACACACACACACACACACACACACACAAGGATATGTAAAGACAGAAATAGAAATACATTTTTTGAAGACCATTTCCCAAGACCTCTGCTCCATGTGTGGTTCTTGAGGGAGATTGAGGCATATAGGATGAAGTACAGAAATAAAAGTCTAAATAACACCTCATTACTAGGTAGATCCAGTGCTCCAAACTGCAAGTTGAGACTTAGGGCAGCTATACTGCACTACCTAGAGGACCTTTTTCTCCTGTTTTATCATGGTCTTGACTTTTGGTCTTTATGATCCAAGAATATCGCTATGTCTTGCTCTATTTCCAATATGAACACCCAACCTGAGTTCTTACTACTCCTGTGAATGAAAAGACAAGCCAACGGCAGTGCCAGTAAAACTGCAGTGAAAAAGAATTGCTCCTCTAGTCAGGATAATGGACGTACCCTTTGTGATATCTAAACACACAAAATGTGGCTCTAATAAATAGAGGTTGACCAGTAGAAAATCTGGGTGTCAGGAGGCTTTGAAAGAGGAACATACTGGAAGAACAGAGGTGCATGCATTAAATAAACACTAAATGTGAACCAGTAACCCTATCCCTTTTACAGATCTAAACGGATCAATAATAAATGGGGGAAAAGAAAAAGAGATAGAGAAAGATCCAGAAGACTTACAGGAGTTCATGTCTTTTTTAAATGCAAAATGCTTTATTTTTTTGTTTGGTTTCCATATTACAATTTTCCCAAGCATTTAACTCTTCGGGGTGGAGTAAGTGTGGAAGAAACGGACTCCAGGGTTCCAAGACTAAGAACCTATATCCCCAGTGACTTCTCAGGCTTGGGTAAGAGGGGTTTCCACCTGGGGAGAGAGGAGAGAATCAGAGACAAGAAAAGTACACAGCATGTGGGAACACTGATACGGGTCCCTGTTCCCTCAGAGACCTCCCAAGAACACAAGATTTTTGCCAGGACTTGGGGACTGGGGACGAGGGACTTGAGGTAAGTCATCCCGCAGACGCATGAAATCATAATCTCTTATCTCACAAAATTAAATGCGAAGAGGAATGTACTTAATTATTAAAAGCCAATTGAAAGTAATAATAATAAAAATTCAAAAACGCTTAATGAGCTTAAAGATCATTTTTTTCTCCCCAATGTGCTCATTACACAAAGGGGAAGAGTCATGCCTGTGACAGGAAGTGAACTGTGAATTTTATGGGGAAGGTCTGAGGCCCTGTTAGGCCTCTTTCTTTACAGTCCCTGAAACAACGTCCTGGGCACGTTGCAATCTCTTGTTTTTGTTGTTAGGTGCTGTCAAGTCGTTTCCAGCTCTTAATGATCTCACGCGCAACAGAACAAAACACTGCGCCGTCTTCACAATGTTTCCTATGCTTGAACCCATTGCTGCAGCCACTATACAAAGCTCTACTCACAATGAATTCAAAGACCCTGCCTACTCTCAACAAACTCTAAGAGAACTGGCTTTTTGGGAACTTTTCTGAGGCAAAGGCAAGAAGTGCAGAACATGGGGCCCCTCACCTCAATCCAAAGTCCACCATGGTTCCATGCACTTGAATATACAGTTGTAGAAGCAACACTTCTTGTCCCCCTTACAACGTCTGTCGTGGTGACACAGAGGAATAAATGTGAAATCACACCGAAGATGAAACTCCGGGCAATATCCAGGTTTTGGTGTCAGTTTTCCTGAAGTAAAACACAGGGTTAGTCGAGTAGCCTGAGGTATCTCATCCAGGCGTCTGAGAGTGTCAGCTTTATCTCCTGAACTCCTCCCAGGGCACATTCCTTACCCTAGCAAATACACGCCCACCACACTCCATACGCACTGTTCATGTTTCCAGCCTGATCCTTGTGGAGGCAAAGGAGGATGGTCAGGGTGAGCACACAGAGGCCGCTGATCTTCATGCTGAGGAAAACCGTGTGGGTGAGCCTGGAGGCCGGATCTCCGTTTATAGCTTTGCTGGCAGGGAGCCACCAGCAGAGGGAGCAGTAGCTCCCAGGTCAAAAGGTCAAAAGTGCCTCAGCTTGACCATGAAATACCTGCTGTTTCCTCTGTTGCCCCTAGAAAGAGGCACTCTGAAATAACATCTGATGCAGAAGTCCTGACCCCAAGTGCTGTCCTCTATTCAGCGAGTCGGAGTAGCGGGACTGGTCTCACCCTTCATAATTTCTTGCTTTGCACAGATTACATCACAAATAAGTAAGCATTTCATTTTAGCAATGTATGGTTTGTTTAACTAAAAAAA